CACGAGAACAAAGAAAACAACACTTTCAGATTGACTCAACACTGGCCGACTTCCCTGAGTGAAGATTCTGACTCAGGCAAGTGACACTGCACATAGAAACACTGAAACAATCTTACTAGGGGCTGTCAACCTTTTGTCTCAGATTCAAGTAGAGAAAACATACACTAGAGATACCAAATCCTTCTGCAATCCATAATCAAATAGCTAACTTTCACATGAAATCGGAATGCATGTCACAAGTGTTAGTTCATGCCAGACCTACCAATCCATTCTAAGTTAACCGGTTAAATTTTTGGTTGTCATCCTTGTGATCTGGTCTTGCCTAAGTTACTTCGACTCGATTACACCTACTGAGGCTTCAATCATATACTTTCTTCACAAATTTTCTGTCTCTTTTTCTTCCTTTTTTTTTATAGACCAACCTACACCTTTGGGAGGGGTGTTATTCAACCTTATCTCTCCACTGCCTTATTTCTCAACCCTTATTACTCCAACAGCTTAGGACTTTTGTAGTGATCCCTTGCTGTTAACCTTTAAGGTTTCAGTTGATGAAAAAAAAAATTTCTCTTTTTTTTTTTGTGTATGACAAACAAGCTGTGAAAGGATACCACAAAGGAAGTCTAAGATTTACGGCATTTTCTCATCTACTTGTAGCTTAAAACTAGACACTGATCACAACAATGGATTAGTCATGCTAAATTTTAGAAATTATACTCTAGGCAATCACTTCCACGAGTGGCATGGTGCATGTGTGTGAGTGAAATGTCAGCCATTTTTCATTTCATGTATCAGACTTGGTATCAAAGTGTTTAACAAAATTTTTTCAAAACCAATATCATCCTAGACTGTTGACAGCTTCTTTTTACAAAATTTTCATTTTATTCCATTTTTTTGAAAAAATTTTACAGGCTCCATCTAGACATTAAAATACTTCAACCTAAAAGAACTAAATGACACTTGACCTGACCAAACCTGATCAAAACTACTCTACTCCCCCAAACTTATTCAAAGCATTATCTTCAATGCTTAATAAACAGATCACACAAAAACAGAAATAACAACAAAAATAGTTCACAGAAATAGAAACAGTTCACAACAAAAACTGTGTAGTCACTCGTAGGAGTGATATTCTCATTCCTGTGAGTGAAGTAGAAGACTGATTTCTGAGTTGGAGCAATTGAAATGGATGAGGAGGGTTTCATGGTGCACATCGTTCAACATATCTGTTTGATTCGTTGCAAGCTCTAGGTTGTATTGAAATATACTCCATACAAGGGATCACGACGTCCTTGTATAACAGCCTGAAATCGCAACATCAGAACACAATAAAGATTCAGTAGCTCTATGGAAGAGTTCAGAATTTTTATTTTTCTGCAGTATCACTCGCTGGAATGACTTTGGTCACTCGTGGGAGTGACTCTGCAGTCCTTCTTTAGCTGCAAAATATTTTTTTCTTCAAATACCAAGGATTAGATTTGAAACACAGACTAAAGATATCAGAAATTAAGCTCATGAAGTTTCTTGGTTCATACAGTTAAGCACAGAGACCATAGAAAGCAACAAACCAGAAGCACCATAGTTCCATAAATAGATTTAGCTTTTAACAATAATGCTCAGAAAGAACTAGGTGACTCGTATGCAATCAGATATGTTAATTCTGAAAATTGTCCCTAAACTTGCTAGACATGGCATCAATGCTCATAAAAATATTAGAAGTTTACCCTAGAGTAAAGTCTAGCAAGTACACATTAAGCACACCAAATTTCAGAATTAACAAACTACTAAGGGATATGACATACAAAAGATGTCTCAAGAACCTAGAAGAAAGAAAACAAGAAGCTAAAACAAAATATATGGGTGGGTAAAAGAAATAAATTGACTTCAAACATCATGTAGGTTCAGAGTCACTTTGTCGAGTGACATGAGTCACTTCCCAGAGTGTCTTAGAACTTTCAGCAATATACACAAAATTTCAAAGTCAACAGCTTCAGTTTTCAAAATTCTCATATTTAAGTTAGAAACCAAATAAACTAACAATAATCATACGTGAACAGAGCAGACATCAATTCTCCCAAACATAAAACAAACCACAGATCCTATGCAGACTAAAATAAATCAAAAGCAAACCAGTCACAACACTCAGCTTGTTACAGGCACACTTGGGAGAGTGACTATTCCACTCTCCAAAGTGAGTGATATTAGAATCTGCTGCATTTTTGGATCACCAATTGAATTGGGATGGCATTGATACTTCTTGTGCACATGAAAGCACACACATTAAACAAGAAAAAATAAAATCAAACAAACTTAAAAGGAAAAGAACGCGGGTTACATCCCATGGAGAAAGCAAAAGGTATAATGCAAGATGCATTCCATAATCAACTCTTCTGGCTTCAACTCACTCAGAATAACCGTCTTGATACCACAAGAATGTGCTGTCAATTAGCCTATCATTCTTCCAGGAAGCATTCTCTTAAATCATCCAACATAGAAGAAAATCTATCTTGCTCCACTCTTCCAACACTTTGGGGATTTTATCGGCTTGAAATTGATCAAAATCAACCATCTCTCCTTGCACTCCCCAAGTATGTTTACCTTTGACTCCATGAACATGACCCTCATCAATGGAAATAGTTGACTCTTCTTCATCAAGGTACCTATAAATCCCAAGTCAACCACCTCTTCATTTGGAGGATAAGTCTCATCAATTTTTAGCACATCCACAATTTCTACCAGCTCACTCCCACAAGTGAGTTTCTCTGTTCCCTTGAGTGGGTATGGTGGTAGAGGAAGTATAGGTAGTGGCTGCATTACCACCTCCCTTGGTTCAACTTCTACATCATTGTCCTCCGTTCATGAGATTACTTTCTCATGAGCTTCTTGTCTCTCTCTTCTTGAGTTGTTGGCAATTATAGTTTGAAGATGAAGACTCATTCGCTCAGTACTTTGCACAAGCTTATTTAGCATATCTTTCATCTCTTGAAACTCTTTTTGGCATTGTGCTTCTTGCATTCTTTGTACTGCCAAATTTGTTCTATGTTGCATCTGCAACACTTCTTTGCTTATCATTTCCATCTCAATTCTGCGTTGCATCTTGTTGTCCTCATAACAAGAATACATTGGTGGAGTAAAGTAGTTGCAATCATGTTCATAAGAGTGAAAATCATAAGTTGCATAACAAGGATTAAAACTACTATAAGTTGCATTATGTTGGATATCATTGCAATCATATGAATTTCCTATATATAAACGATAATCTGCCATGAAACTTTAGAGTTGGCACACTCTTTTCAAGTCAAAAAATTAAAAAAAAAGAAACAAAAACAAAGAGATGGTTAAAAGAAATTTTTCTTGCCATCCCTGGCAACGGCGCCACTTTTGGTGGCTTGTCAAAGCTCCCAAAATAAATTACCTTCTTAAACTGTAGATAGGATAAGTCAGGTCAATTCCACAGGGACCACAGGGACAGGTTAAACTTCAAATAACCGGCAAACAAACAAGAACACAATAGTTGCAGCGTGTCACTCACTTGCATGAGTGGTAAAATCACTCGCACAAGTGGCTCTGCAGAACTGAAAATAAACAAAGACAAATGAAATCTCACTCATGGGAGTGAGAATTCCGACTCAAGGGACTGACTCAGCAAACTGGATATTCATTCTCTTTTTTCATGTAATCAAGTTGTAATCTTGCACTCTTTTGGTATAAATTCATGCTCATTCAAGCACTTTATATATCTCTAAGTTACTTCCAATTTTTCCTAGAGGTATCTTTATGAACTCAATTAAACTATTTTCTAATGATTAATCAAGTCATAAAGTCATTAAGTTTTCAAGCCTTATATGAATGCTTATGCTAACCAAGTATATTCCTATCTCAATTAGAACCTTGGACTGTTACCTCCAAGTCATAAGTTGAAGCTAAATGATTCTGAACCTTGTTTACCCTTCTGAGATTCACTTAGTTCTGTGCACAATCAATCAAATGGCCAATTTAATCAAGAGGTAGATGAAAGCTTTAACTTCAAAATACAAAATTATCCGAATGCATTCACAAACTTAAACGACATAGGTTCTAGAGAATGAAATCTAATTAACTATACATACAAACTACAAAAAATACAAGAAAAGACGAAAAGCATTGAGAAGAAGTAAATCTGGATGGCTGCGCAACAGGTCACTCGCCTGAATGACAAAGGTCACTCAGGCGAGTGAGGTCTGTTACTCCTCTTTTGCTGCTACTAGACTTCTTCTGCTTGGAGTTTCTTGATCTCCTCTCTGGTCTGTTCTTCTTTCCCTGTGGTATTTGGTGTGTTGTATGTGTGTTTCTGTCCTCTCAGATGTGTCTTATGCTGGGTATGCAGCTCTCTTTATAGGTCTTGTTGCCGGGTTCTTCTTCCAAGAGACTCTCACCATGCTTGTTGCATTTTTTTATTAACCCCAGTGGCCTTGTGTCTTGAATCCGGTTTTGACTGGTCTTTTGCCCATTCTTCCAGTGATGATATCAGTAGCATCATTGCTCAATATGAGTGGTTAGTTCTTCATTCAAGGAGGCAAGCATGCTCTTGAAATTCTATAGTGGGACACTTTTGTTGGCTCCCAATGTGCCTTGTGCTTTGAAGTTACTTTTGACCAGCTCAGCCCATGCTTCTTAATTCTGAAATCAGCAGCCCAATTATTGCTCCACAAGTCCCCTTTTTTTTCATCACTTGTTCACTCAAGTCCGTACCTTCACAAAAACATAAAACTTACTAAGTAATATGCGTAAATTCTAAGATGCACCCCCAGATTTTTAACTAATTAGAGAGTAAATTGCATTGCTTTTATATAACAATTTGACCGTTATCACGAAGAACCGAGAGGATATTGGGAGGCTATATCTCAAAAGGAGTGTGGTCACTTCCAATCCCATTAGTAAGTTTCCAGATCTATATATCTTAGTTCCGTTTCTGGTTTTTGAATTCATTGCATAGATATAGATTTTACTGCAATCAAATAAGTATGCCTAGGAATCCTGAGCAGAAATCTGTTGACGATTTTGCATCCACTATAGATTCCGTCGAGAAGGTAAACGCCGTGAAAACCAAATACGATATGTCCCTAGATCTAGAAGCCCGAGCCCCTCTAGGAAACGAGAGAGCCAATACTCCTCCTCAAGGAAAAATCACCATGTATGATAGATTCGTGTTCCTAGGGTTGAGATTCCCCCTTTTTCCTTTGTTCGAGGAGATTGTTGATTATTACAAAATTCCCTTAGCACGCTTTACCCCAAACTTGGTTACCTATGTTCTTGGATACGTGAAAATCTGTCAAGGAGTAAAAGTGAAACCGTGCCTGTTTTTGTGGAGATACTTCCTTAGAGTGTCCATTGCCTCAACAAATTTCCAATATTGGTATATAGTGAAAAGAAACTTGACCACTGGTGCCAAAAAGATAGTGGAGGCGTATGGTGGTTCCCCCATATGGAAGCCGAACTTTATGTATATAAAGGCACCCGAAAAATACTTTATTGCCTGGAATTATCGAGAGACCAATGGATATGAGGCAATGAAAGAATATTGGACGGATGAGGACAAAGAGAAGATCAAGGAATTTGATAAAGACTTGAAGAAGTTCGAGAAGTATTCCAAGATAGTGAATTGGAGTGCTTTGCAATATTTTATTCCTGTTGTTCCTGACGAGAAGAAAGAAGCGAGCAAGCAGAAGTCGAGATCCCTCTCAAGATTCCTTCAGAGACTCCTCTTGAGACTGCTACGGAGACTCCTCTCGAGACTCTTATTGAAGAAGAGAAAGGTACTAATCTTACTTACTTTTTCCTCTGTTTCTTTTAGGTCATGTCTTTGAGCAATGGTGGCTCTCGACTATATGGTGACAGAGATCCCTTTCCTATTGTCAATTCAGATGAAGACGTCTTGACCACTGTTGTTGCTGGTCAGAAGAAGAAGAAGAAGAGAATTGTGAAGGCCTCGGATAAGGAGAAGAGCAAGAGGGCCAAAACTGATGCGCCGGCCAAGGAAACCGCTACGCAAGGTGAAAAAATAGTTCCTCCTGCTTCGAAGGAAGGCCACATTCCCCCATTGGAATCTGGGCCAAGCAGTGTGCCCCCTAGTGGAGATAAGGGCAAAGGAACTCTTGAGGGAGAGATAGCCGTTCTGCCTCCGCACTTGTTCGAGGGAGGTCCGACCGTGGCAGTTTACACTTTTGGCGACCCGCCAACTATAGAATGCCCCCTGCTTGATGAATTTTCCGTGCAGCTAAACGAGACAAACAACATTAGGCTGGTGAGTGTTCCCTCATGGTTGGCAATTACTAAATTAAACTTATAATATGTGACGTTTCCTTGAAATTTCCTTGAGATTTCTTTGACCTTCTGATTTTGTGCAGACGAGTGCGGCCTCGATGGCCCATCTGATGCACTTAAGGAAGTTGAGGGAGGAGTTGGTCCAAGCTCAAGCTGAAAGGGACCAAGCATTGCTCGAGAAGGTTGCGCTTGAAGAAAAGATGCAACAGATTCAAGCTAAAGAAACCGAGCTGGCTTCTGTACAGGCTAAGTACAACGAGGTAGACGAAAAGCTAAAATCTTTTGCAAGCTTGCACATCTCGAGAGAAGACTTGAGCAAATGGTGTGCTGCTTTTTTGGTTCAAGATGTTAGCCACAAACAGGATGGCAACCGTGATCGAGGAGGTAAACATGCTCTCGACCAGATACGGAGCTCACAAGGTGGCTGTGGCAGGCCTCACGAGAAGTAGCAACGACACACCCATTAGGGCCAAGTGGTTCAAACAGTTCCTGATGGAAAATCCCAAGAAGGCCATGCACGAGGCGTTGGTTAATGTCCTGACCAAGCTCAGCGTTGAGCAACTACCTCTGTGGGAGTCTTTATGTGTTGCCCTTACAAAAATGGGAAATTTTGAGGAAATTGCTATGTTTCCTGGTGACATTGCAACAGCATTAGCGAGAGGCCCTAGCGAGGAAGAGCCCATCCCTGACGTGCAAGATTCCCACATGGGTATTGAGATGGAGGATGATGAAGAAGCCTAGGAAGAAGACGTGGCTGATACTGGCCATTCATGAGTGCAGAAGAACGCTGGGGATGCTTCTTAGAACCCTTCCAGGGACAACTCTTCTGGCAGAAATGCTGTATGAATCCTGCCTTGTGCAATAGTTGCTAGGATTTTTAAACTATGGCTTTTGTAATAAACTTTTTTCCTTCCTAGGTGTTGACATGATTACTGCATCCTTCGTGTTCCCCCAGTTTAATGTTAGTGTTTCTGCTCTCCTTCTGAAGCAGGATGGTCTATCCACCATGTTTACCTCATGGTGCTGTCGGAAGGTCAATCGAGAGAATACCCACTATATTCTATGATTAGTGGTATGTTGAGGGTTCGTACAGACATTCACATCATTCAGACCGTGGCAAACCTAGAAGTTGATCTTCTTGACGCAATGCGGGTGCACAATGTAAGAGTTAATCAACATTTGATTAACGAGATTAAAGAACTTCGTGAGGAGATACAGCGTCGAGACTTTCAGAGCCTTCAAGATTTCAGCGATTCTTTGACCTTTGAGGCTGATATTAATGATGAATTGGTGGCCTCAGAGAAGGAAAACACCCAGCTGCGAGAGTGATAGAAGATTACCATATCTCTATGGTTCATCGAGAAACATCAAGTGTTAGCTCGAGTCCAGCATATGATTTCAATAAGAACCCGCCGATTCATCACGGCAATGGACATGTTAAAAGAGAGAGGACACGAGGTCGAGCTTCTTATGGAATATATCAACGAGCTGCAGAACTTGTAGTTAGATCACCAAATTGATTTTGACCTTCGAGAAGCCTGAGGCAGCGGTTGACCCTCAGACCAGGAGTTCTCGAGAAGAACTATTCATTAGAGTGCATGCTAAAGACAATCTTAATCAATGCATGAACCTCCTTAGCCAGCATGGGTTTAAGGGGATTATTCATCCTTCTCCTGATAACCCTATCAGGGAAGTTCTTGTAATAGTGTAGAAGAACATGTATATTTTCTATAACCACGATCATTTGTGTGAAGATAGTAAATGTGTTATTGCTTTGTGAAACTTGAGTTTTTCATTTATATAGCGCTTTTTGGCCGGATGTAAAGTAAACGACTCTCTCGAGGGAACTAGGTACGAGTTTCTCAATTCGATACTACGATCTGCAGCGGCTACGAGGAGTATTCCTCGATTTTTTGTCCGGATGTTGAATACACGGCTCAAAACGAGGATGGCCCTTAAGAAGGAGTCCATCTCGAGGACTAGTCATAAAATAAAGTGTCGACAATATGAGGAAATAGGTAATGTCTTTTACTGAATAATTACCCGAGAACCCGGGTTAGCAACATATGAGAGAATGAAAAATAAAAAATAACAAAGCAAGTAAAGCAAATAAGACAAACAACTAAGACCGAAAAACATGAGAAAGCTCATCGACCCATGCTCCTTTAGCGTCATATAGCCTGGTCTTGATTCCACGCAAGATGGTTCTGTTGATAGATTCCGCCTGGCCGTTAGCTTAAGGGTGAGCTACGCTTGAGAAACGACGCTCGAACTGCATTTCTTCGCACCATGATTTGAAGGGGTTACTCTCGAATTGGGTTCCATTATCAGAGACGACGACCCTTGGAACTCCAAAACAACATACAATATTTTATCAGAAAAAATCCAACATCTTCCTTCCTGATATTGAGGCCAACGGTTTAGCTTCTACTCACTTAGTAAAGGAATCAACTGCCACGATTACCCATCTTACTCCTCCTGCCACTTTTGGATGAAAAGGACCGATAATGTCAGTGCCCCATTGGTAAAATGGCCAGGGACTTTGAAAGGTGACCATTTCGTCTTGTGGTTGTCGAGTGATGGGAGAAAAGCGCAGACACTTATCGCACTTTTGTACAAACCGGTATGCATCTTTGAAGACCATTGGCCAGAAGTACCCTGAACATAGTACTTTCTTGGTGAGCGCTCTCGCTCCCATATCTGCCCTGCATGATCCCCCCATGTTTCTCTGTGAGGACATAAGCCGCCTGTTTTGGGCCAACGCATTTCAACATGGGTAGCAGGTATTCGTGCTTGTATAGAATACCATCTCTTAATGTGTATTTAACTGTTTATAGCTGGAGTACTCGAGCATCCGTTTTATTACTTGGCAGTGTTCTATTTGTGAGATATTGGACAAACGGGGTCATCCATGTATCTCCATCTTCAATAATGGTCATTACGGGCGACTTCTGAATACTTGGCTCGGGGACTGAGGTGCGCAAAGTTTGAGGAGGCCAATTTACTAAGGGCGTCTGCCCTTTTATTTCTCGATCGTACAATGTGGGATATAGTACATTCCTCAAATTTATCCTTTATCTCGAGGACTCTCTCGAGATATCGTTTAAACTGCTCGTCATTTGCTGTATAATCGCCCAAGATTTGCTTTACCACCACCTGAGAATCACTAAAAACTTGAATTTTCTGAACCCCAAGCTTTAGAGCCATATTCATCGCTACTATCAATGCTTCATACTCAGCCACGTTGTTAGTATCCGGAAAGCCAAACCTCAATGCGTAGGTATACTCTGCATCATACTCCTTCATGCTCTCGCTATCGAGATCAGCCGATGGCTTTGCAAATATAATACCGGCTCCTCCCCCTTCATCACAGTGAGAGCCGTCGACGTATAGTGTCTAGGCTCGAGGGTTGACATTAACGCGAGTAACAGGTTGATCTTTAGGTGTCGTGAATTATGGGGAATCAACAGTTCGAGGCATGTCCACGAGGCAATCCGCGAAAGCTTGCCTTTTGATTGCTGTTCAGGGCTTATATTCGGTGTGGTATTCTCCCAACTCAACTACCCACTTCATCATTCTACCGGAAAGCCTCTGGCTTGAGAAGGACTTGTTGGATGGGTTGCTCTGTTAATACCATGATGAGGTGCGCTTGGAAGTACGGATGTAAGCGTCGAGCAGCTAAAATCAGGCTTAGGATGAGCCTTTCCATGGGTATATAACGCGTTTCTGCCCCTTGCAATACTTTACTGACAAAGTAAAATGGAATCTCTGTGCTATCTTTGTTCTGAACGAGCACGGCCGATATAGCTTTTCCTCGAGCTGCCAGATATATATATATATATATATATATATATATAGATGCTCCTTTAACTCCAGGAAGGCTTTCTGGCATTCCTTGTTTCATTCAAACTTTCTACCTTTGCAGAGCGTATGAAAGAACGGGAGACTTCTTTCTGCAGCTTGAGAGAGAAACTTGTTCAAAGCGGCCAATGAACCTGTGAGTTTCTGAACTTCCTTGAGACTTTTTGGTGCTTCCATGACTAGAATCGCCTTGATTTTTGCTAGGTCAACACTAATTCCATCCTTGAAAACTTGGTACCTCAGGAATTTGCCTGACCTCACGTAGAAAGCGCATTTTTTTGGGTCAACTTCATGTTAATCTTGCGCAACATCAAGAAGATCTCGCACATATCTTTGACTACCTGTTCATCTCTATTTGTCTTGATAATCATGTCATCCACATAAATCTCAATGTTTCGGCCGATTTGGTCATGGAATACCCTATTGACGAGACGCTGGTAGGTCGCGCCAGCGTTCTTCAGACCAAAGGGCATCTTGTCATAACAGTATACTCCGATCTTGGTAATGTAGGCTGTCTTCTCTGCATCCTCTCACGCCATAAGTATTTGATGATATCCTTTATAGGCATCAAGAAAACTAAGGGTCCTATACCCAGTGATACCCTCAACCATCTGATCTATAACTAGTAAGGGATAGCAGTCTTTGGAGAACTACTTGTTGAGATCAGTGTAGTCTTGGCACATACGCCAAAAATTATTAGGTTTCCGCACTAGGACTGGATTAGCCAACCAAGTAGGCCAAAAGACTTCTCAGAGTATAATAGTGCGAACCAACTTCAGTGCTTCTTCATTGATGATATCATTGCAATCCCGAGCAAAGATCCTTTTCTTCTATTACACAAGTTTCACATTTGGGTCAACGTTTAACTTGTGCTCTATGACATCTCGTAGAACTCCTGTCATATCTGTTGGGGACCAAGCGAATATATTGCGTAATTTGCATAGCAAGGCGACTACCTCGGCCAGCAATGTGTGAAGGGATATTCCTATCTGGATGGTCTTAGAAGGGTCTGCATCGTGGAGGATGAGCTCATGTGTCTTGCTACTGAGTGGTGGTTGGCTGCTAACTTCACGATCCTCTACTCGTGGTTGGACTGCCGTTTGTTGGATCGAATAACACCAAGACATGGCAGTGTCGGGGTCCGATTTCATGGTCTTCTTTCCAATTTTGACGGCCGTGAGAAAGTATTCTCGAGAGCTGCGCCGACACCCTTGCACCACCCTAACTCCATATTCTGTTGGAAATTTCATAACCAGGTAATAAGGAGACCAAAATGCCCTTGCTTTGCACATCCAAGGTCTTCCAAGGATCACGTTGAACAGCGAGGGTGCATCGATCAGAGCAAAGTCCATGGTTAATGTAACCGTCCTAGGATGCGACCCTACTGAGATGGGAAGGCTGATGATTTCGGTTGGAATAATGGTGTGGCTCGAGAAACCCATCAAGGGGCATCGTTGCCTGGTGGATGTGAGGGTTCTGAATATTCATTTTCTTGAAGCAGTTGCTATATATGATATCGACTGCACTGCCGTTATCCACATAAACGCGACTAACTTTCACGTTTCCGATTATAGCCTCAATCACCATAGCATCATTGTGAGGACAAACATCTGGGACCACGTCGCTATCCGTAAACACTATGGCCTCTGTTCCTTTGAATCTTTTGTGGCTAAGTTCCTGACGAGGAGTTTTTCTGACAGTCCTTAACGAATTCTTCATGGCTGTGGTGGATAGGACTTCTAGAGGTGCTCCGTAAATAGCTCCCTCTTGATGAGTAATCTGCTCAGCAGGATCTGTTGGGGGAAGTTGTTGGAGTGGTTGTAGCGCCCCTTCAATAGCTTGCTGAGGCTATTGCTGTGTGTTGGCTCTCAGTTACCAATTATTTCCTCGATTATCTCCTTGAGAAGGGCCTCTAAAATTTCATTTGGGATAACTTCAAGATGGACCGGGCTGGCTGTTCTTTTGTCAAAAGGATCCTTGCACGTATTGCTGAAATTTACCAGACTTGACTCCATTCTCAATTTCCCTCTTATGCTCTCGACAATCCTCAGTATCGTGGCCATGATCTTTGTGATACTCACAATATCGTTCTATTGACCTGTTTGGATTAGGCGCTAAGGGTTTCGGGACTGGTAGCTCATCCTTGTGGATCTGAAGGATTTCTCGACGCGGTTTGGTCAAGGGCGTCAACTGCCTATCAAGCTTAGGCAATGTCGATTTATTTTTCGTATGAAGCCTTGGTTTGCCTCTCGGCCCTACCGGCGTAAAAGATTATTGAGACCTTTTGAGTGTGTGTTCTCGCTGAATATGATTCTCAACAATAGCCCACATTTCCTGGGCGTTCTTGGGGGGTGTGGTCGAGAGCTTGACTCGCAACATCGAGGACTTTCCAAATGGGTTGAGACCTTGAATAAATCCATTGCGGACATCTCGGTCGTGGATGTTGTTGACTTGTAAAGTTTCCTGGATGAAACGTCTATGAAAATCGGTAAGACTCTCATGCTGCCCTTGCCTGATTGAGGAGAGATCGATGGACATTCACGAGATTGACTTACTCTAGAACAATCGAGTAGCTAGTTTGACGGATAAATCCTCGAAACTGATTATACTTCCTTCTGGCAATTGTCCAAACCACCTCTATGCTGAGCCGGCTAGATAGGAGGGTAAGGCCTTGGCCATAAAGTTTAACGATGTATTACGAATTCTCATGACCAAGACATATCCTTGTAGCCATTGGGAGACGTCAGTAACCCCTGAGAATGGTTTGAAGTCTTTGGGAAAGTCAAAGTCTTGGGGCTTATGTTCATCTCAAATATCCGGCATAAAGGGACTCCGATCTACGGCCATTCCAATGATCTTTCTCATCTCATCTCGAATCAAGACGTTCTGGTCTCTCATTCCATACTGACCTCGGGGGATATAAGGTGGAATCTCCCCGTAATTGTTATGATGTTGGTGCCTGGGAGGTGAATAATGGAGACGACGATGGTGCCCTTGGTCGTAGTAGCCCTCAGCGTCATTGTTGCCCCGATATTGTTCATGGTAAGGCCTGTATTCTTCCCTCTGAGGGCTTTTTCGATTCCAGTTAGGTCCCAACCAGCCATGAACCTTAGTCCTTCTCGGAGGATTTTATTCTTCTTCTTCCATGACCTTGACACTCGGAGAGTTTTGCTGGTAATGTCCTCGAGTACCCTTACGCTTGTACGTTGTATCAAATTCTTCGAGAGCCATGTCAAAGGCTGGGTACTTCTTCATGAAAGCATTCCAGTAATTGGTGTGTCGAGTAGCAGTTGAGTGATCTTCCAGGAAGCCTTCACGATCTGAGAATTCTTTATAATCCTCGTTTTCCTCAACTTTTTGCTTCCCTTGTTTCTTCTCGAGAATGGCTATGGTGCGTCTAGCCTCCTTCTCTTCAATCAAATCAGCTAGCTCCTGATCAGTAGGATCGGGCTTTCCAAGGAGACAGCGACGCTGGATTTTCTCGAGAACATACTTTCTCATCTTTTGCTGCTGGTCGCTCTCGTCCCGTAACTTCTTGAGTTCAGCCTCAATCTTGGCCCATTTTTTATCCTCCAACTGCTTCCTGGACGCTGTGGTATTTCGAGGAGGCGGTAGATCCTCCTTCTTCCTTGCGGGATTAGGCCTGTCTGGCTTGGATTAGGATGTGAAGGACTGCAGTCCAGACGTTCTTTCTCTGGTTCTTTTTCATATCCACCTACATGGCCTTTCCCCCACCTTCTTTCTTTCTTATCTCCGTTGGAATTCCGCCAAGGTGGTGTTGTCGGCGGGACTGTGCTGCCTACCGGAAGATGTTGTGCTATTCCCGTCTTTGTCAACCCTGGCCATTGCGTTGGTTGTTCCAGAAACCCTAAATCACACCAGGATAATTAGGGAAACCTTGGAGGGTTTTCATGACACAAATCCTAGTTTTCGGGTCCCACTGAGTGTGCCACTTGACGAAGCTTGGTTTTACAGTGCCGGTCTAACAGTGAAACTCTGGCTGCAAAAAAAAGCCTCAGAGGTCTCCTGAAGGTAGACACTCCGATGCTTAAGTCAGAAAAGAGTTTAAAGAACGTAGGAGAGTAGTATTGTGTGCTAGAGATAGCCTACCCATATTGTGGTGTGATCAACCCTATTTATAGGCATAAAAGTACCTGTAAGATAACCGTGTCCTACTAGGTTTCGTGTTACCCAAACCACCCTAGCAGAGTTAGTTGGTCTCTTTACTTAGTTAACAGGTCAACCCAGTCTCGGTGGTGGATATGGACTCGTCAAATAATATTCAAATTCTTAGCATGTTCAATAATTTAACGTATGTTATATATGAGGAAAAAACATAAAAGTTCTTTCATAACTCAAACTAGATGTTAAATCCGTACTATGTACGGGGTAGAAAAATTGTCGATGAAATGATTTGTTGTGAGCTGAAAATAAAAGTTTAATAAAATTACAAAAAAATTGCATCATTACAAATCTTGCAGTACTTCTTTGCATACAACATTGGCTCTTTGCTATTTGTCTCTACTTCTTTACCACATTAAAATTTAAAATTATTTTCTTGATGTCATTCTTGATAGAGCAACATATTACCGGGCATAGTCATCAAATCTTAGAACTTTTTGGAGTAAACTTTAAGTAGTTCGGATAAAAGTTTCAGCATCTCCAACAGTTTGAATTACACTATAAGAGGCAATTCAACAATCAAATAGCAACACACGGGCAAGGAAGCAGAAAGAAAGAAAGAGGGATAATGTCAGCAGCAATATTGCTCTGGTATGAGAAGTACTCTCCCTCTAGAAGATTGCTTTGTAACAGATTTTACCATATTTTTAAGGAGAAGGCTCGTACAATGATGCGCTCAAGAGAAGGTGGTTTACTCGTGATGCAGCCAGACCAACAGTCTCTGTCATGTCTAAATCACTTGGCTTGAGGCCATTGGGTAGTTTCCAATCAAAATGGTAGAGTAAAAGAGCCAATGGAAGATAGACATTGGCCAGGCCAAAAGACATTCCAGGGCACATCCTTTTTCCCGCGCCAAATGGTATAAAAGTGAAGTGATTTCCTGTAAAATCGATGGCACTGTCTTTGAATCTCTCCGGTTTGAAACTATCAGGATCATCCCAATACTCAGGATCTCTTCCGATTGCCCAGGCATTAACTAAGACTCGTGTTTTGAACGGGATTATATGACCAACAATCTCAGTTTGCGTCGTGCTTTCTCTTGGAAGCAACAAAGGAACCGGAGGGTGTAACCTAAGTGTTTCCTTAACGACTAATTGTAGGTAATTGAGTTCTTGTATCTCTGCCTCTTCAAATGTTTTTTTCATCTTAAGCGAAGCCCTTATCTCGTGCTGTAGCTTGGCCATCGTCTCAGGATGTCGAATCAACTCAGCCATTGCCCACTCAACCGTTGAGGATGAAGTTTCAGTTCCCCCAACAAAAACATCCTGAATAAGTTGGAAATTTTCATCATTATTTCATGTTACATGTATACGATAGATCATTAGTTAGGGGTAAAAAAAAAACACGAAAAAAGAGTAATAGGCGGGGCGTATAACACTTACAACCATAATAGCCTTGATATTATTCCTGGTGACCGGAACATGCAGGTCGTCGTTACCCTTGACCCTCAGCAGAACATCAATTAGATCTTCATTTCCGCTTTCACCAGTGGAGGACGCTTTTGAGATGGCCAAGTTTTTGTCGAGGTACTGATCAATAATGTTGTCAAGCAGTCTATCTAGCTTACGATGGATGGCCATCAATTTATTCTTGTTGGAAAAGAAGGGATGTAGAAACTTTAGAGAAGGGAACAGATCAGATATCTCAAAGGCACTGGAAAGTGGCAATAACTCCTTGATCAGTACTAAGAATGCAGTTTGATCGTCCTTACTAACTTTTCCGAATGCTGCTCTTACAACCATGGAACTAGTGTACTGGCCCAGTTTCTCCGTTACATTAATTGTTGTAGAACTGCCAACCAGATCTTCAATAGATGTGATGAGATTGTGAGCTTCTTGGAGCCTTATCGAGCCATATGACTGGACATTTTTAGAGTTGAGGAGTTCCGAAGTGCAGATTTTGCGCATTTGTCTCCAGTGTTCGCCTGATGGAGCGCAAGCAATATCTGTACAATTGTAGCCGATAATCTTCCCAGCCAGAATCTCTCCCCGGTTACCGAAAGTGGCATCTTGAGTTCGCAGTATCTCTTTGGCTAATCGCTGGGAAGACACGACGATTGTAGGAACCTCTCCGAGTTGTAACTGAATCAGATCACCGTACTTCTGGGAGAGTTTTCTGAGAGTATGATGGGGTAGAGCATCCTTCAAAAGATGCAAATGTCCAATTATTGGCAACCTCCACGGAGATGGTGGCTGGTTCTTTGGGATTGATTGCAGTCTCTTCCAAATTAACGTTGTTGAAAGAAGTGTTATGAAAAGAGAGAAACCGATGAAACTGATAATGGATGTTTCCATTTTCAATGAATTAATCTCTCTTACGATTGTTCTAGAGTTTATGACTGCTGGGTGACTCACTAACCAATAATATATATAGCAACACATAGTAGATACCCTCACTACCAAAATATAATTATACGCATTTAATCAATTATGTAAATGAGTACTCCCTCCATTCCAAAATAGATGTCGTTGGGGGAGTTGCACAAAATTTAAGAATACAATAAATACTTAGTTAAAATACTAATTTACCCTCATTTACTTTCAATGGAATCTTATTTCCAATATTATTTAGTTCTAATATACTTCCCAATTACAATTTACTTTCAATGGAATCCTATTTCCAATATTATTTAGTTCTAATTACTTTCAATGGGAGTATTAAATATTAATTTGAATGGCAAGTACCAATAATTAAGACGCTTAGTGTGAATAAAAAGTGTTTTAGAAGATCAGATGCCATAATAATGAGCCTACGGAAATCAATTTGATAAACAACAACACGCAGTAATGTTTTGTATTGGAGTACGCAGGGGAGAAGAGATTCCTTTGATATTTTGAACCAATCGGTCAAAAAAGTCTGCTGTTTGAGATGGGCAATTTGTGCCGTAAATAAAATGCGGCCATGTTTAGTGTTTACAAGTCAAAGTAACGGCAAACCTCTATTCTAACCATGAAAATAATTTATACTCCCTCCGTTCCATAATTATTGTCCATTTTCCTCAAAAAATTTTGTTCCAAAAATATTTTGAAATTTGACTTTTTATGGACCAAATTACACATTTGTCCTTAGTAAAAAACATTATCCATAAAATCTTAGTGGTTAAACAATTACTTATGTAGGGGTATATCCCGTTGTTTAAGGTAAAATATAGTTAAGTTTGACCAAAAATAAAATTTTTCATTTTAGTAAAATTGGACAATAATTATGGGACGGAGGGAGTACATTTTAACCAAAAAAATTTGGATGGTTATGAAACTATATTATTTTCTAGGGACAATTTTATATATGAATTTGGACATTGTTTTTTTGCCTACTAAGACGAGGAAGTAGTAAAATTGCTGTGGAGCCGTCGACCTGGACTTAGTCAACGGGTATGCCCACATATGGATTTTTTTACTTCAATTTCTTCTAATTTAGGTTTCAATCTTCCATCAATTTCTATGCCAACGTAGAAAGTTTTAAAAACAACCATTCTGTGACCAAATCAATGTATCGATCGCGACATTTTGGAATGATCCTTAACCCACATAAGACAGCGTCAGTTGCCCATATTTCCATATATCGAGATTGTTCTTCTTGGGAGCTTCGTTCATTAAATCACTTTCTTAGCACCAGTTTTCTCCAACAAGTGCCATCTTATTGCACCTACGTTAAAGACCCTTTGACTCGTTGTTCATTAAATTGATTAAGCATCTCCAACCCTTTGAGTTAGTATAAAATATCAGCTCAGAATGAAAAGAAGTAGAAAGAAAGAAAGATGGATAATGTTAACAGCCATATTGCGCAGGTTACCAGAATATCGTACTTTGACTTCATGAATATGGTTTGCAACAGTCTTGGCCGTACATTTTAAAGGGAAGGCTCGTACAATGTTGGAATCAAGAGTAAGGGTTTTACTCTTGATGTAGCGAGACCAACGCTCTCTGCCATGTCTAAATCATTTGGCTTGAGGCCATTGGGGAGTTTCCAATCAAAATGGTAGAGTAAAAGAGTTAATGGAAGATAGACATTGGCGAGGCCAAATGACATTCCTGGGCACATTCTTTTCCCTGAGCCAAATGGTATATACGCGAAGTGATTTCCGCTGAAATCGGTGCCACTGTTTTCGAACCTCTCTGGTTTGAAGCTCTCAGGATCATCCCAATAACTGGGATCTCTTCCGACAGCCCAGGCATTAACTAAGACTCTTGTTTTGACCGGGATTGTATAGCCATCAATCTCAGTTTGCATCGTGTTTTCTCTTGGAGGCAACAGAGGGACCGGAGGGTGTAACCTGAGTGTTTCTTTAACAACTAGTTTTAGGTAGTTGAGTTCTTGGATGTCTGACTCTTCAACTGTTTTGTTCTTCTTAAGAGATGCCCTTATCTCCTTCTGTAGCTTGGCCATCGCCTCAGGATGTCGAATCAATTCAGCCATTGCCCACTCAACAGTTGTGGCTGAAGTTCCAGTTCCCCCAACAAAAACATCCTGAATAGGATTAAAAGTTTGATCATTATTTAGTTTTGTAAGTATTAATAGGATCTGTACATCCATCCAACAACTGATTATTAAGTTCGACAGAAGCTGAACACAATTGATCAACTGATCATTAGTTAATCCAGGACAACAAAAGAGAGTGATAGGCGTATCATACTTACAATCATAATGGCCTTAATGTTATTCTTTGTGACTTGAACTTGCAGGTCATCGTTGTCCTTCACCCTCAGCAAAACATCAATTAGATCTTCATTACCTTGCTGTTCACTGGTGGAGGACGGCCGTGAACCGGGCAAGTTTCTTTCGAGATGCTGATCGATAATGCTGTCCAACACTCTATCTAGCTTGTGATGGATTGCCATCAATTTATTCTTGTTGGAAAAGAAAGGATGTAGAAACTTTATAGATGGGAACAGATCAGAAATCTCAAAGGCACTGGAAAGAGGCAACAACTCCTTGATTTGCTCTAAGAAAGCCGTTTTATCATCCCTACTAACTTTTCCGAATGCTGCTCTGACAACCATGGAACTAGTGTATTGTTCCAGTTTCTCTGTTAAATTAATTTGTGTTGAACTACCAACATGGTCTTTGATAGATCTGATGACACTGTAAGCTTCCTGGTGCCTAATTGATCCATATGACCGAACATTTTTAGCATTGAAAAGTTCCGAAGTGCAGATTTTTCGCATTTGTCTCCAATGATCGCCCGATGGAGCACAGGCAATATCTGCACAATTGTAGCCGATAATCTTCCCAGCCAGAATCTCTCCCCGGTTACCGAAAATGGCATCTTGAGTTCTCAGTATCTCTTTGGCTAATCGCGGGGATGACACGACGATTGTTGGTACCTCTCCCATCTGTAAGTGAATCAGAGCACCGTACTTCTGAGAGAGTTTTCTGAGAATATGATGGGGCAGAGCACCCTTTAAAAGATGCAAATGTCCAATTATTGGCAACTTCCATGGGGATGGTGGCCGTTTCTCTGGGGCTGATTGCTGTTTCTTCCAAATTAGTATTGTTGAAAGAAGTGTTATAAGAACAGAGAAACAAATGATATTGATAATGAATGTTTCCATTTTGAATTATTGATTCTCTCTTACGATTGTCGACCCTGAGTTTTGTGAGTGCTGGTAGCTTACATACGCAGTGCTATATAGTATGAACAATTTGTGGGTACTCTCACTAGTTGTATAAACAATAATGTGAGTTTTCTTGTAGTGAGGCTTTTGAAATCACTTTAAAATTATATCGGACAGAAAAGTCTGCTTTAGATGTCGTTTGGTAATGTGTCACAATCACTGACTACAATTGTAGCAAGACTATATTCTTGAGGATATGGAAATGAATTTGCATTTCATCAGTATATGCGAATCAGAAGCTAGTTCAATGGTAAACTTGTCCTTTGTTCTTTTGAGAAAGTATTGAGTTTCATTTCACATTTTAACATTAAGCGAGGATTTGCGCTTCCTCTGTCTTGAAGACTGCTAAGGCGAACTTATGTATTAACTTCTGATTTCGCACTCGAATCTGCCTATTAGAACTCATCAAGGGTGATTTGTGTTCTACAGTCATTTGTATGATGTTGTAGAGGAAATATCTTATCCAACACTATAGGCGCTTCGATCAGAGGTTCTTCTTGCTTTTTCAGAGTCTCGAACGTCACTTCCTTCTTTCTCTATTTCTTTTTTCCCCCTCTTTTTCTGGAAATTTTGGTTGAGGGTGGAACAAGCTCATTCCCCTGTATCTATAGCTAGCACCCCCTGCATGCATCATCAACCTTCCTAGACTCGTAGGTACTTAAACACCATATTGGACTCCAGATTAGCATACCTTAGCTTGCTCCAAATATTAAGGTGAATTTTTTTTTATGGCCCGGTAGTTCTAGGTCTCCCAAGTAATATGTAAAACTTCTCATGTTCATCCAAGGTAGTTGGAGGCAAAAGATGTATGGTGGCTGCTCACTCAATCATTTATGTGCTGCATTGTTTGTTGTTCTGGCATGGCGCTGCCCTCATTTGCCCTTGGATTCTCTGGTCCTATTTTATTTTTTTTCTCTCAATTTTTTTCCAGTTTTTTCTTTGAAATAAAGTAATATTAATTATAAGGTTCTTACTATTTCATTGTTTAGATTGATCAAATGTTTAGCATCTGATGTAACGATTTTATCTCGACGTACTCCCTATTCATAACAATGAAAACAAGCAGGATAAATCTTAGGGATACAAGTTGGAGTGACACAATTATCCTTGTGATATACTCCCTCAAATGCTTAATATAAGACATAAATAACTAATTATAAAAATTAAAGAGAGCCGTAGTTACATAAGTTATTTTTGGTGAACTACCTATATTACACATGTTAAGAATGTCCCCAATCTTTTAAGAACCAACCAAATTAAAATTTTGTTAAATTTTGTTAGGTCGTCAGTGATTTTAGTAAATCTTTGTGAACCAATTCTAAATTTCTTTTCAACAATAACTCTGTCATGGTAGTATGGAAACGGTTGCGAGACCGTTCTTTTTGCATTGCCTAATTGTTAAACACTACCGTGGGCATTTATAATTTTTAAGTTAATAAAAATCAGGAACATGTCCGTCATGTATCGTTCTAGATTGAAGTAAAAAAATATTTTATCTAACTAGACCTATAGACTTTGAATATTAATAATTCAAAAATTATAATATTCTAAACTGGATGTTAAACCCACGCGATGTGCGGGATAGACGTAAATATATTTATCAATTATTTTATAAAAGTTCAAATTGAACAAAAAAAAATTACAATAATCGTCAAATTTTAAAAGTAACCAAATTTTCTTTCAATCCAGGCATGTGAAGAAGAAATACTTGTCATGCATGATACAACTTAGGATGGGTCGACATAAAAGAGGGTGAAAGATTAAGTATAAAAAAATATACTCTTTCTATCTCGAGATGATGTCCTAGTTTAAATTTATTTGTAACACAAATTAAAGTAGTAATAAATATTGTTTGTACAATTTTAAAATTAGGTTCATATAATTGTGGATGTATAGCCTAAATTGTTATTAATTATAATAATTATTCAGCTTAAATTTAAAATATGCTTTTATTCTTTTTTTTCGGATTAGTGATTCGTTTTATCCATTATATTTCTGTAAAGATTAGGAATAACAAAAATAGATTCTAAATTGGAAGAGTATCATTTAATAATGATAATTAGTTTTGCAACCTAACAAATGCCCATGAAATGAATCATTAATAAATAATTGATTTACCTTCACTGTAATTTGCTTACGTCAATGCTCGGTTGCTCATATATAATCTTGCTACCCTCTTAATTCTTGTAATTCTTTGAATTCAATCCTAGTGCTTCTGGAATCTTGTATATCTTATACCTGTAAAAAGAAAACAACAACAAAGCCAACATCAATTTCAATCATATTTAATCTAGTAACATGAGCAGAAAAAAAAATGAAGCAAAAATTATTACAATAAGAAAATTTGAGTTTGAGCGAGAATTCTCAATTTCACATGACAATGACTCAATATATAGGTAGATAATAACCAACTTCTCGTCTAAGATAAGGTTAATTTCAAATTTTGAATTTTGGAAACAATTTTAGATTCCTTAAATACTGGGATTTGATTTGGTAATTGTAGGTAAAAATTGATTAATTTTTAACAAACTTCTTGGCTATTATGGTTAAATTAAAAATGATGATTGATAACTGATTGGAGTATGGTAACGTAAATGGAATGCAATCCTTTTTTACCATTATAATTAAATTAAAAATGCTAATATCGTATTCTTATCAATTACATTGGGATATTTTTGAGAGAGATTTTTTTTTTTTTTTGAATTAAAAGCCGATTTGTCCTCCAAAATAAATCATGCGCATTAATGTTACATAATTCTCGTACATTAAATTTGATTAGTTTCTATAATTAGTGAATTCACATGTGGCCATTTTGAACTTATGTACTCCCTCCATTTCTTTTCATTAGGCTCACTTTCCCTTTTGGGATGTTTCAAAACTTTAGTCCTATTTCACACAATTAATTAATTTTTTTTATAAACTCTCTAATATACCCTTCCCACTTTCACTGAAATCAAGAACATTTAATTAACTTCAACTATTACTCTCTCATATCAACTAATAATTCACTAATCATTAATAAAGGTATATTAGAAATTTTATTTAAAATTAATTACATAAACTACATTACCTACCTTTTCTTAATCTTCGTGTATGTCCAAATGGGCCTATTGAATTGGAATGGAGGGAGTAGTAATTATGGAGATTATCTTAGGGAGGGATTGGAGTATAATTAAGTGTCAAAACTTAGCCACCTATAATTAATTAGAATATTAATTGATCATTAATTATAATATTAAATGATTTTCTGATTGTAATAGAACATGTTTAGTTTTTTTCTCCAAAACTTGGCGGGGGGGGGGAAGGGGTTTGGCCAAATAAAGAAAAAAATTATTGAAATAAGTTAAGTGCACCAAATATGGGATTATGTTATTAATTTATACCTTGATTTTTGGGAGTGAGATTAATACTTATGGATATATTTAATATTAGTTAATTTAGCTAATTATGATGAATGTGCTAATATGTTGTAACTGAATTTTTTAGGGGCTATTAGCCAAAGGTTATAAAAAATTTCTCTAAATTTTAAGAAATTGCCATGTACATATGTAAAATTGTTTTTCAAAACCTCTTTCTGGTTTCTCTCTTAACACAACGTACTCTAGATAGATTGTTACAAGTTGTATAGTTTTGATATTTGTCGTGAAAGCATAAATTCTAAAAATTAATTGTTACTCCCTCCATTTTGAAATATATGTCATTTTAGGATTTGGTAAATTTTTTCAAATATATGTCGTTTTCACAAATCGAGGCATATTTGACCACCTTTTAACAATATTACCCTTGTATTGGAAATGAAACATTATTTATAATGAATTTCTATTGATTTGTGATGAATTGTGTAGACAATAAATAAGGGTATTTTTGTATTTTAATTACATTAATTAATGTTTTTTTGGTTTTGATGGTTTCTCTAGAAAGACATAAAAAACAATGGAGGGAGTAACTTTTTGAAAAAATTTGCCACATAGAATTTGTCCTACATTGCGCTATAACATAATAGATACATTCTTACTTTAGGTTAGTGAAAAAAATAAACCACTATGAATTTAAAGAGTTTCGAAACAAAAGAAGGTTAGAATAATAATGAGAGAATTGATCAAGTAGAGGTTTTATTTTTTTTATTTGAAAGTTTACATATCTATAATCAATAATTGTGATATTGTATATTCAAGATGCGATTCAAACACAGAACATTCATAATTGATTAAGGTTAGCAAAAAAATTAGTGACTTGCTAATAAAGGACATTTGCGACATGAAAATATGAACTAAATTTTATATTGAAAAATGAAGAAAATCTCCTAAAATTTTATATATATGATTAATTTGATGATCTATAAAAAAACTTTATTGATCTTTATTTCAAAGAAAAAGTCATATGGGAATTCTGTATCAAAGAGAAAGATAAAGAAAAAAAGATGCCACATTATTTTTGTTGTTATGAAAGTTTTTTTTTTTTTTTTTGCCCCTCGAATAAACATTCTATGCTGAATTAATCATTAAAGGAATTAATTTTTGTTTTTTATTTTTTTTGGGTGGACAGGGAGAGAATTTGTTTGATTCTTGGAATATGTTTACAATTAAAATGATGTAGTCTAAATTTATAGACATAATATTGATCACTTTAAATTGTATATGAGTCAAAAATTCAAAAGTTGTTAAATAACATTGGAAATTTGATGAACAAATTCTCAAAAATACACCATAATGGTTGTAGCTTTATTATTGTGTAGGGCAGTGTGTCAAAATCTTACTTAAATTGCAAATATTACACCTTTGGATATTATGGAGAAGAACGAAAAATTACATTAAAAAAAAAAAATTCAATATCAAGAAAAACACTACTATAAGTTTCTTGTTATTTTTAATCTTTCAAATAATAACATTTGGTAGCAATCTAGGAATTCATCCCATTACCAGAAGCTATGGATAACAATACAACACTCGTGCTTCATTTTTGCTCAAAAGAAACGTGGCTTGATTTTCTGGCATTAATGCTATTTTTTTCACGAACACAACAACAACCAATGTATTCCGGTGATCATCACTTTCAGTGCTTGGTCTGCCAGAATAATAAAGATTTAAACATAAATGCACTACTATTTGTTGGACCGATTTTTAACAAATCTTGTCCAAATTAGAATGGGCCGATCGCAGCAATATTCACGGAAGAAGAATTGGTGAAGAAGCCTGTCGCATCGTTTATCCAAGGGAATATTAGCGAGTAAAGAAGTTGAATCCGAGAAGGAGACACCAACGCAGTAATCCATGTCGAACAAGGATTCCAGATGCAATGAGAGTCCCTGTTGGATTCAACTCCGGTTGCAACTCAACTAGGGTTGGCAAAATCACTATAAAAGCTATAAGGGAGGTGACGAAAGGAACACAACTCATCATTCAAGAATCAGAATTTCATATTTTCCTTTATAATTTTTTATCTTTCGATTTTCAAGCTTTTCATGTATTCCTTTACTTTTCAGTCGCAATTTCTATAATAATTCAAACGTTTCAGGCTATTCAGAGCCGATTCTTTCTTAAACGAGTCAATAAAACAGGCTCTTGCATGCCGTTTTGTTCATTTTTTTACAAGTCTTCATTACTCTTTGAGTCATGGATTGAATGTCAATTCAAAGATAGCAGTCTGTTTAGATCAATTCCAACGTTTAGACTTCGTATTTCAAGAATATCACGCAATCGTTTGAAATTAGTTTGAGCCGAATCGGTCTTTACTATAAAATACAATTTTGACTCAAACATAAAATTTGGCACGCCCAGTGGGACCGATTTGCGTGTTCTAGGCTTTGTTCAAACAGAAAGATGATATCGTTGCCTCAATCATCAACAGCAGCGCATTCGGCGGGGCAAGGTTCCATGCCAATTCATACTTCTGCACTAGGTGGAAGTTCCTTGCCGCTTCCGAACATTTCAGCGGTGGACTCTTATTCAACAGTGATAACAGATCAATCCAGTGGCATAGGCCGACAATCTAGCCAGCAACAATTAAATGTTGGATCAAGCCTATTCAGAGAAAGATCCAGTCATTTCGGGTCTTACAGGAGCCCAAGGTCTCAGACGCCAGGTTTTCAGAGCCCGTTGTTCTAGGTTCCTGTGTTTCATAGCCAAGCTCAAGCGGATCAAGTCCCGTCAATAACTCCTGAAATGGTGTATCAACGATTTTCGGCAATAGAGCATGCTATTGCTGCACAAGTGGAACGTTTTGAAAATGCTTTTCAGAGGTTGATTGACCATAGCACAAATACAGGAGCTATTGGTCCTAGTGGGTCTGCAGCATCAGAAACTGGCACAGCTACGGGAACAACGAATTCAGAGATATCACCGGTTAATATGGTTAACAATCCCTTGTATAATGCTATATTTCAAACATCTGCATCAGTTACTCTAGTGCAAAATGCTACAGCAGGGACGAGCATCAACGGTGTCCAAAACATATCAAGAGCAGTGTCACAAGGATTGCAAAGTTTGATTTATCCGGTTGTTCCGAGTCAGCCAACATTTGTCCCACCACCAGGGAATTTTACATTTGATGGACGTCAATTACCTCCATTGTTTCCTCAATACGGAACGCCAATAATGATGTTTGGGATGTCATGGGGATAGCAATTGCCTTATCAGGGATTCCAAAAAACATGGCCAATGACTCCAGGAACGCAACAGGTAGGGACTGCAACAAGTGGTAATGTTGAAAGAAATGCACAAGAGACAAACCAATTTCAGCTGCAGAATATACATTTCAACAGCAGCCTCCACCAAGGCAGCATCAGCAGGGATCAACAATGGTTTCACCTCACTTAATTGGACAAGATGGAGTGCCCAGAATAGCATTGGAATTAGGTGTGCAAAACGTTATCGGTAATGGGACCGATCAAGGCCTTGTTGGCACAGGAAATAATTAGAGTTTTGTGGTCAAAAATCCAGGGCAAGCTAGTCAGAATGTACAAGGGACCAATGACCGCCGCTTTATATTGTATCAAAACCGAGTACCAGGAAATAATACTGCAGCCGTAAATTTGACTGATCCACACATACCCCAAGCATCTGGTGTTGTGGTTGCTGACCCGCAGATTGTTCCACCTCATATAACATTGGAAGACAATAGAGAAGAGCAACAGTGGATGGCATATGAAGCGAACCAGATTCTGAATAGGAATAGAGCGCAGGCTATTGGATGAAATATTGGAAATCAGAATGTGGGAAATAGACACAACCCGCGTCAACAACATTTTTGGGGCCAAGGAAGAGGTCGTCATCGGGTCGATCTTGGAAATGAAGTTAGACAGGAACCGAATGCAACAAAAAATGGTAACCAGAAACAAGATTTTGAAATAGAGGTTGAACAGACTTTAAATGCCGAGGATGCAGTCTCAAAGATGATTGAAGATAGAGTCCGTAAGGAATTGGGGACTGAGATTCTGGAGATCCCAGGCAAACCTTATCAGGATTTTGTTGAATAGGAACCATTACCCAGACATTTTAAGATTCCTGATTTCCAACAATTTTTAGGGAAAGATGAGAAGAGACCTAAAGACCACATAAGTTTATTTGAGTTGTAGTGCGGGTCAGTGAGTAATAATGCTTTAATCAAGCTGCGTTTGTTTCCTTATTCTTTAAAAGGGACTGCTTTTCATTGGTATCCATCATTAGCACCAGGATCTATTCCGTCATGGGAAACTCAACAACGAGAGTTCTTATCATGCTTCCGTAGGGATACCACACGATTATCAATTGTTGATCTGTCGGAAATTTGACAAAAGTTTGGAGAAGATGCGGAAGCTTATCTGATACGGTTTCGTCAAATGTATGCTAAGATTCCTGATAAATATGATGAACCAACTATTGCTAAGATGGCGATTGCAGGAATTCAGGATTACAAGGTCAATTTAGCTGTTGCATCACATTATGTTCGATCCTTGAATCATTTGGCGGATATTGTAAGAAGGTGTGAGAAGTTTATTAAAGATAAAAGGGAGAAGCACCCAGGAAAGGCAAAGCCATGGTTCAACAAAACTCTGGTAGCAAAAGTGAATCAGAGTCATTGGGTTCATGAAGAGAACGACGATGAGTATGACATTAATGCCGCTGAAATTGTTAATGTATGTAATTACAAATGTGACGCATTACGTCGACCCACAGTCCCACATTCTTATAACACTCCTCCACCAGTTGGTGCACCAACAAGGACCCCAGGATAGGCTGACGGAGCTAATGTTGGTAGAGTTTATTCCTTCGACATTTTGCAACAAGAGGCTATTTTCAACGATATGTTTCAGAAGGGTCACATTCATTATGGAAGAGGTTATAGACAACCAAAGCCAGCAGATTTGGTGGAAAAAACTTATTGTAAGTACCACATGTCATGGACTCACACAATAAATGATTGTGTGGTATTCTGCAATAAGCTTTAGAAGATGATAGATGATGGCAATGTAATAGTAGAAGATCTGGTTGAAATGAATATTACTCCTTTCCCGCCACAGCACCAAGTCCGAATGGTTGATGTGGGATTTGGGGGTCAAGCTTCTGACACATGTCAATCACTGGTTGTGAAGATTGTGATACGATCTTTAATAAGGTAAAACGGCAGCTTTATGATCTCGGATCTAAATTTGGAGGGCATTTGCATCGACAGAATACGCGTCCAGCTGCAACAGAAGTGAATATAGTCATAAACGGGCAAACTCACACCTAGGTGGAGAAAGAAACGCGTTTGGATCCATAGCAAGAAAAGCTAAGGGCTGTATAAGATGCTATATTGCATGCCTTAAATCATAACTAGCAACAGAATGCACAGTGTCTAGATGGGCATCCGGAAGCTACTCCAGCGCAGCAACGACTGCGTGTACATACACGATTGGGGAATCCCACCGTTAACAATTCATCGAATTATGTTCAAAATAGAAAACCGTCAGTTTGGTAGCGGTTCAAAGACCCAATCAACAAGGAAGAGCTGGAGAAAGAGCAGTCAGAGCAAAACCTGTCAATGACAGAGAGTGGCATCGTGTTGTTCATCAAAAGTTCCCTACCTTGTCACTAAGGAAAGCAAAGATGACCAGAACACAGAAAAGATGATGGCAGAGGGTTATGAATAAACAAACAAGCACTGCAATGGATGGAATACCATTGAGGCATTTTCTAGTGGACAACGACACAGCAACTAATATACTGCCTACAAGAGCTTTACCCAGACTAGGTAAGCAGATTAAAGATTTGGTTCCAACAGAGGTTTTTGTAAGTGGGTTAAGAGAAGATGTTTTAACCGCCAAAGGAATTTTGCCATTGCAAGAAGAGGTAGGATCCCGGACGGTCGTGTCAGTATTCTTTGTTGTTGACATTAAAGCTTCTTACAATGCCCTTTTGGGGCTACATTGGATTCATTCGGCGAAGTGTATCCCATTATCTCTCCATCAAGCAATCATTTCATGGGGAGCAAAAGCCCCGGAAGTAATTGCAGCCGACATAAGTCCATTTGCAGCACAAGCTACTGCTGTGAAAATTGTGATACAGTCTTTAATAAGGTAAAACGGCAGCTTCATGATCTCAGATCAAAATTTGGAGGGCATTTGCATCGACAGAATATGCGTCCAGCTGTAACAGAAGTAAATATAGTCAAAAATGGGCAAACTCAGACCTGGGTGGGGAAAGAAACACGTTTGGATCCAAGGCAAGAAAAGCTAAGGGCTGTATCAGATGCTATATTGAAAGCTTTGAATCATAACCAGCAACAGAATGCACAGTATCTAGAGAAGCATTCGGAAGCTCCTCCAGGGCAGCAACGACTCCCTGTACATACACGATTGGGGAATCCCACCGTTAACAATTCATCAAATGATGTTCAAAATAGAAGACCGTCAGTTTGGTAGCGGGTTCAAAGACCCAATCAACAAGGAAGCGCTGAATAAAGAGCAGTCAGAGCAAAACCTGTCACTGACAGAGAGTGGCATCGTGTTGTTCATCAAAAGTTCCCTACCCTGTCACTAAGGAAAGCAAAGATGACCAGAATGCAGAAAAGATGATGGCAGAGGGTTATGAATAAAAAAACAAGGACTACAGTAGAAAGAGAGTCTGCATTTTCTGACAGTGAATCGCCAGTTTCCCAAGAAGTGGCGGTCATTAAGTTTTTCAGGTCAATAAGACAGGTGGTCACAGTTTTTGAAACGATCAGACACATATTTCCCACCTGTGAATATGGTTTATATGTTGCCGAAATCATTTTGTATGAGAGATCCTCCATTTGCCACAACCCTTGTTCCTGCAACAGTTGCAGACCAAGTGGTCGTCCCAGAGGCAGCTTCATTTGTGACAGAACCACACGATACTACAGTTGGAGGTATTAAATTACTATCCCAAGAGGTAAAAAGTCCAGTTATTATGCTATCACAACCGGCTGCAGATTCGGATTCCCATATCAGGCCGTTGTACATCTTCATGGCAATAGATGGAATACCATTAAGGCATTTTCTAGTAGACAACGGCGCAGCAATTAATATACTGCCTACAAGAGCTTTACCCAAACTAGGTAAGCAGATTAAAGATTTGGTTCCAACAAAGGTTTTTGTATGTGGGTTTACATGAGATGTTACAACCGCCAAAGGAATTTTGCCATTGCAAGTGGAGGTAGGATCCCAGACGGTGGTGTCAGTATTCTTTGTTGTTGACACTAAAGCTTCTTACAATGCCCTTTTGGGGCGAGATTGCAGTCATTCGGTAAAGTGTATCCCATCATCTCTCCATCAAGCAATCATTTTATGTGGAGCAGAAGGCCCGGAAGTAATTGTAGCCGACATAAGTCCATTTGCAGCACAAGTTACTGTTGTGAAGATTGTGATATTTAATAAGGTAAAATGGCAGCTTTATGATCTCGGATCTAAATTTGGAGGGCATTTGCATCAACAAAATACGCGTCCAACTGCAACAGAAGTGAATATAGTCATCAAAAATTCCCTACCCTAACACTAAGGAAAGCAAGGATGACCAAAACGCAGAAAAGACGATGGCAGAGGGTTATGAATAAACAAACAAGGGCTGCAGTAGAAAGTGAGTCTGCATTTTCTTACAGTGAATCGCCAGTTTCACAAGAAATGCCGGTCATTAAGTTTTTCAGGTCAAGAAGACAGGTAGTCACGGTTTTGGGAACGATCAGACACATATTTCCCACTTGTGAATATGGTTTATATGTTGCCGAAATCTTTTTGTATGAGAGATCCTCCATCTGCCACAACCTTTGTTCCTGCAACAGTTGCAGACCAAGTGGTCATCCCAGAGGCAGCTTCATTTGTGACAAAACCACACGATACTACAGATGGAGGTATTAAATTACTATCCCAAGAGGGAAAAAGTGCAGTTATTATGCTATCACAACCGGATGTAGGTTCGGATTCCCATATCAGGTCGTTGTACATCTTCGCGGCAATGGAAGGAATACCATTAAGGCGTTTTCTAGTGGACAATGGCTCAACAATTAATATACTGCCTACAAGAGCTTTACCCAGAATAGGTTAGCAGATCAAAGATTTGGTTCCAACAGAGGTTTTTGTAAGTGGGTTTACAGGAGATTGTGATACAGTCTTTGTTGTTGACACTAAAGCTTCTTACAATGTCCTTTTGGGGCGAGATTGGATTCATTCGGCGAAGTGTATCCCATCATCTCTCCATCAAGCAATCATTTTATGGGGAGCAGAAGGCCCGGAAGTAATTGCAACCGACATAAGTCCATTTGCAGCACAAGCTACTGCTGTGAACATTGTGATACAGTCTTTAATAAGGTAAAACGGTAGCTTTATGATCTCGGATCTAAATTTGGAGGGCATTTGCATCGACAAAATACGCGTCCAACTACAACAGAAGCGAATATAGTCATAAGCGGGCAAACGAAGACCTGGGTGCAGAAAGAAACACGTTTGGATCCAGAGCAAGAAAAGCTAAGGGCTGTATCAGATGCTATATTGAATGATTTGAATCATAACCAGCAACAGAATGCACAGTGTCTAGACGGGCATCCAGAAGCTCTTCCAGCGCAGCAACGACTCCCTGTACATACACGATTGGGGAACCCACCATTAACAATTCATCGAATTATGTTCAAAATAGAAGACCGTCAGTTTGGTAGCGGGTTCAAAGACCCAATCAACAAGGAAGCGCTGAATAAAGAGCAGTCAGAGCAAAACCTGTCACTGACAGAGAGTGGCATCGTGTTGTTCATCAAAAGTTCCCTACCCTGTCACTAAGGAAAGCAAAGATGACCAGAATGCAGAAAAGATGATGGCAGAGGGTTATGAATAAAAAAACAAGGACTACAGTAGAAAGAGAGTCTGCATTTTCTGACAGTGAATCGCCAGTTTCCCAAGAAGTGGCGGTCATTAAGTTTTTCAGGTCAATAAGACAGGTGGTCACAGTTTTTGAAACGATCAGACACATATTTCCCACCTGTGAATATGGTTTATATGTTGCCGAAATATTTTGGTATGAGAGATCCTCCATTTGGCACAACCCTTGTTCCTACAACAGTTGCAGACCAAGTGGTCGTCCCAGAGGCAGCTTCGTTTGTGATAGAACCACACGATACTACAGTTGGAGGTATTAAATTACTATCCCAAGAGGGAAAAAGTCAAGTTATTATGCTATCACAACTGGCTACAGGTTCGGATTCCCATATCAGGCCGTTGTACATCTTCGCGGCAATGGATGGAATACCAGTAAGGCATTTTCTAGTGGACAACAGTGCAGCAATTAATATACTACCTACAAGAGCTTTACCAAGACTAGGTAAGCAGATTAAAGATTTGGTTCCAACAGAGGTTTTTGTAAGTGGATTTACAGGAGATGCTACAACCGCCAAAGGAGTTTTGCCATTGCAAGTAGAGGTAGGATCCCAGACGGTGGTGTCAGTATTCTTTGTTGCTGACACTAAAGCTTCTTACAATGTCCTTTTGGGGCGAGATTGGATTTATTCTGCAAAGTGTATCCCATCATCTCTCCATCAAGCAATCATTTTGTGGGGAGCAGAAGGCTCGGAAGTAATTGCAGCCGACATAAGTCCATTTGCAGCACAAGCTACTGCTGTGAAGATTGTGATACAGTCTTTAATAAGGTAGAACGGCAGCTGCATGATCTCGGATCTAAATTTGGAGGGCATTTGCATCGACAAAATACGCGTCCAACTGCAACAGAAGTGGATATAGTCATAAACGGGCAAACTCAGAACTGGGTGGAGAAAGAAACACGTTTGGATCCAGAGTAAGAAAAGCTAAGGGATGTATCAGATGCGATATTAAATGCTTTGAATCATAACCAGCAACAGAATGCACAGTGTCTAGACGGGCATTCGGAAGCTCCTCCAGTGCACCAACGACTCCCTGTACATACACGATTGGGGAATCCCACCGTTAACAATTCATCGAATGATGTTCAAATAGAAGACCGTCAGTTTGGTAGCGGGTTCAAAGACCCAATCAACAAGGAAGCGCTGAATAAAGAGCGGTCAGAGCAAAACTGTCAATGACAGAGTGTCATCGTGTTGTTCATCAAAAGTACCCTACCCTGTCAGTAAGGAAAGCAAAGATGACCAGAACGCAGAAAAGATGATGCAGAGGGTTATGAATAAACAAACAAGGACTGCAGTAGAAAGAGAGTCTTCATTTTCTGACAGTGAATCGCCAGTTTCCCAAGAAATGACGGTCATTAAGTTTTTCAGGTCAATAAGACAGGTGGTCATAGTTTTGTAAACAATCAGACACATGTTTCCCACCTGTGAATATGGTTTATATGTTGCCGAAATATTTTGGTATGAGAGATCCTCCATTTGCCACAACCCTTGTTCCTGCAACAGTTGCAGACCAAGTGGTCGTCCCAGAGGCAGCTTCATTTGTGACAGAACCACACGATACTACAGTTGGAGGTATTAAATTACTATCCCAAGAGGGAAAAAGTCAAGTTATAATGCTATCACAACCGGCTGCAGGTTCGGATTCCTGTGTCAGGCCGTTGTACATCTTCGCGGCAATGGATGGAATACCATTCTGGCATTTTCTAGTGGACAACGGCACAACAATTAGTATACTACCTACAAGAGCTTTACCCAGACTAGGTAAGCAGATTAAAGATTAGGTTCCAACAGAGGTTTTTGTAAGTGGGTTTACAGGAGATGTTACAACCGCCAAAGGAATTTTGCCATTGAAAGTAGAGATAGGATCCCAGACAGTGGTGTCAGTATTCTCTGTTGTTGACACTAAAGCTTCTTACAATGTCTTTTTGGGGCGAGATTGGATTCATTCGGCGAAGTGTATCCCATCATCTCTCCATCAAGCAATCATTTTATGGGGAGCAGAAGGCCCGGAAGTAATTGCAACCGACATAAGTCCATTTGCAGCACAAGCTACTGCTGTGAACATTGTGATACAGTCTTTAATAAGGTAAAACGGTAGCTTTATGATCTCGGATCTAAATTTGGAGGGCATTTGCATCGACAAAATACGCGTCCAACTACAACAGAAGCGAATATAGTCATAAGCGGGCAAACGAAGACCTGGGTGCAGAAAGAAACACGTTTGGATCCAGAGCAAGAAAAGCTAAGGGCTGTATCAGATGCTATATTGAATGATTTGAATCATAACCAGCAACAGAATGCACAGTGTCTAGACGGGCATCCAGAAGCTCTTCCAGCGCAGCAACGACTCCCTGTACATACACGATTGGGGAACCCACCATTAACAATTCATCGAATTATGTTCAAAATAGAAGACCGTCAGTTTGGTAGCGGGTTCAAAGACCCAATCAACAAGGAAGCGCTGAATAAAGAGCAGTCAGAGCAAAACCTGTCAATGACAGAGAGTGGCATCATGTTGTTCATCAAAAGTTCCCTACCCTGTCACTAAGGAAAGCAAAGATGACCAGAATGCAAAAAAGATGATAGCAGAGGGTTATGAATAAACAAACAAGGACTGCAGTAGAAAGAGAGTCTGCATTTTCTGACAGTGAGTCGCCAGTTTCACAAGAAATGCCGGTCATTAAGTTTTCCAGGTCAATAAGACAGGTGGTCACAGTTTTGGGAACGATCGGAAACATATTTCCCACCTGTGAATATGGTTTATATGTTGCCGAAATCATTTTGTATGAGAGATCCTCCATTTGCCACAACCCTTGTTCCTGCAACAGTTGCAGACCAAGTGGTCGTCCCAGAGGCAGCTTCGTTTGTGACAGAACCACACGATACTACAGTTGGAGGTATTAAATTACTATCCCAAGAGGTAAAAAGTCCAGTTATTATGCTATCACAACCGGCTGCAGATTCGGATTCCCATATCAGGCCGTTGTACATCTTCATGGCAATAGATGGAATACCATTAAGGCATTTTCTAGTAGACAACGGCGCAGCAATTAATATACTGCCTACAAGAGCTTTACCCAAACTAGGTAAGCAGATTAAAGATTTGGTTCCAACAAAGGTTTTTGTATGTGGGTTTACATGAGATGTTACAACCGCCAAAGGAATTTTGCCATTGCAAGTGGAGGTAGGATCCCAGACGGTGGTGTCAGTATTCTTTGTTGTTGACACTAAAGCTTCTTACAATGCCCTTTTGGGGCGAGATTGCAGTCATTCGGTAAAGTGTATCCCATCATCTCTCCATCAAGCAATCATTTTATGTGGAGCAGAAGGCCCGGAAGTAATTGTAGCCGACATAAGTCCATTTGCAGCACAAGTTACTGTTGTGAAGATTGTGATATTTAATAAGGTAAAATGGCAGCTTTATGATCTCGGATCTAAATTTGGAGGGCATTTGCATCAACAAAATACGCGTCCAACTGCAACAGAAGTGAATATAGTCATCAAAAATTCCCTACCCTAACACTAAGGAAAGCAAGGATGACCAAAACGCAGAAAAGACGATGGCAGAGGGTTATGAATAAACAAACAAGGGCTGCAGTAGAAAGTGAGTCTGCATTTTCTTACAGTGAATCGCCAGTTTCACAAGAAATGCCGGTCATTAAGTTTTTCAGGTCAAGAAGACAGGTAGTCACGGTTTTGGGAACGATCAGACACATATTTCCCACTTGTGAATATGGTTTATATGTTGCCGAAATCTTTTTGTATGAGAGATCCTCCATCTGCCACAACCTTTGTTCCTGCAACAGTTGCAGACCAAGTGGTCATCCCAGAGGCAGCTTCATTTGTGACAAAACCACACGATACTACAGATGGAGGTATTAAATTACTATCCCAAGAGGGAAAAAGTGCAGTTATTATGCTATCACAACCGGATGTAGGTTCGGATTCCCATATCAGGTCGTTGTACATCTTCGCGGCAATGGAAGGAATACCATTAAGGCGTTTTCTAGTGGACAATGGCTCAACAATTAATATACTGCCTACAAGAGCTTTACCCAGAATAGGTTAGCAGATCAAAGATTTGGTTCCAACAGAGGTTTTTGTAAGTGGGTTTACAGGAGATTGTGATACAGTCTTTGTTGTTGACACTAAAGCTTCTTACAATGTCCTTTTGGGGCGAGATTGGATTCATTCGGCGAAGTGTATCCCATCATCTCTCCATCAAGCAATCATTTTGTGGGGAGCAGAAGGCCCGGAAGTAATTGCAGCCGACATAAGTCCATTTGCAGCTGCATGATCTCGGATCTAAATTTGGAGGGCATTTGCATCGACAAAATACGCGTCCAACTGCAACAGAAGTGAATATAGTCATAAACGGGCAAACTCAGAACTGGGTGGAGAAAGAAACACGTTTGGATCCAGAGCAAGAAAAGCTAAGGGCTGTATCAGATGCGATATTAAATGCTTTGAATCATAACTAGCAACAGAATGCATAGTGTCTAGACAGCATTCGGAAGCTCCTCCAGTGCACCAACGACTCCCTGTACATACACGATTGGGGAATCCCACCGTTAACAATTCATCGAATGATGTTCAAATAGAAGACCGTCAGTTTGGTAGCGGGTTCAAAGACCCAATCAACAAGGAAGCGCTGAATAAAGAGCAGTCAGAGCAAAACCTGTCAATGACAGAGAGTGTCATCGTGTTGTTCATCAAAAGTACCCTACCCTGTCAGTAAGGAAAGCAAAGATGACCAGAACGCAGAAAAGATGATGCAGAGGGTTATGAATAAACAAACAAGGACTGCAGTAGAAAGAGAGTCTTCATTTTCTGACAGTGAATCGCCAGTTTCCCAAGAAATGACGATCATTAAGTTTTTCAGGTCAATAAGACAGGTGATCACAGTTTTGTAAACAATCAGACACATGTTTCCCACCTGTGAATATGGTTTATATGTTGCCGAAATATTTTGGTATGAGAGATCCTCCATTTGGCACAACCCTTGTTCCTACAACAGTTGCAGACCAAGTGGTCGTCCCAGAGGCAGCTTCATTTGTGACAGAACCACACGATACTACAGTTGGAGGTATTAAATTACTATCCCAAGAGGGAAAAAGTCAAGTTATTATGCTATCACAACCGGCTGCAGGTTCGGATTCCCGTATCAGGCCGTTGTACATCTTCGCGGCAATGGATGGAATACCATTCTAGCATTTTCTAGTGGACAACGGCGCAGCAATTAGTATACTACCTACAAGAGCTTTACCCAGACTAGGTAAGCAGATTAAAGATTTGGTTCCAACAGAGGTTTTTGTCAGTGGGTTTACAGGAGATGTTACAACCGCCAAAGGAATTTCGCCATTGCAAGTAGAGGTAGGATCCCAGACGGTGTCAGTATTCTTTGTTGTTGGCACTAAAGCTTCTTACAATGCCCTTTTGGGGCGAGATTGGATTCATTCGGTTAAGCGTATCCCATCATCTCTCGATCAAGCGATCATTTTATGGGGAGCAGAAGGCCCGGAAGTAATTGCAGCCGACACAAGTCCATTTGTTGCACAAGCTAATGCTGTAGAAGCTTATTACTATGACAGTGAATTTGATCCGTATCGCCTTATTGGCATGGACAAGTATGGTCGGCCACAGCAGGCCACTATGCATCGTGATATGAATCTTCCGGAATGGAAGTTACTTTGGCAAGAAGTTAACAGGCCGTACAATTACAATGTGTTAAGGCCGTTACCTGCCACACCAACTATTGAGGAAGTATCCAATGAAGAAAATTGAATAGCTAAGGGCTTTAGATACAAACGAGTTAGATCATGAGTTAGTTCTGGCACAAGAAAAACAAGAGGCGATAAAATGAGTGTTGCAATATTTTGAGGATGATCATTGCCAGCAAACAGAATCACCTACAGTATGTTGGGATGAAGTGATTTATGATGCAGACGTAGTTTTTGATAGCGATGTCATAGATTTGAATGAATTGGCAACTGCAACACCAAAGTTGAGTGACGACGCTGTCGTTACCAAGGAACCAGTCGAAGCAGTCAATCTAGGGTCATCTAGCGAGGAAAAATCCCCTTATATTAGTTCTTCCTTATCAGCCGATGACAAAACGTTGTTGATCGATCTCTCGAAGCAATACCATGATTGCTTCGCGTGGGATTACACGGAAATGCCGGGGTTGGATCAAAGTTTAGTAGAACACAATATCCCTTTGAGAAAGGGTTTTAAGCCATTCAAGCAGCCGCCGAGAAGGTTTTCAGAAGATGTGGTCGGCAAGGTAAAAGAAGAGATTGAACGCCTATTGGCAGTTGACTTTATTGAAATTGCAGTGTATATTGAATGGTTATCTAATGTCGTGCCCGTTATAATGAAAAATTGCAAGACTAGAGTTTGCATGGATTTTCGTAATCTCAACCTTGCGTCTCCTAAGGATGAATATCCAATGCCAATTGCAGAAACGTTGATTGATAGGTTGATGGGTTTTCAAGTCATGAGTTTTGTTGACGGTAATGCCGGATACAACCAAATCTTCACTCCTGCAGATGTTCACAAGACCACTTTTCGTGCGCTAGGATCTTTGGGCATTTTTTCAGTGGAAGGTTATGCCATTTAGATTGAAGAACGCAGGAGCAACTTATCAACGGGCAATGAATTGCATATTTCATGATTTAATCGGGAAAGTGCCGGAGGTATACATCGATGATTTTGTAATGAAGTCACATTCCTTTGGGGATCATTTGCAGCATTTGCGTCATGTTTTGAGCGTATGAGGAAATATAAACTAAAGATGGAATACCGTTGAAGTGTGCTTTTGCTGTTTCTTCAGGCGTATTCTTGGGATTCTTGGTTCATTCCAGGGGTGTTGAAGTTGATGCGGAGAAGGCTAAAGCCATCATCGATGCTAGACCTCCAAAAACAAAGAAAGAATTACAGAGTTTAATCGGCAAGGTCAACTTTCTTTGCTGATTTATTTCTAACCATTCTAAGAAGTTGAAGCCTTTTTCCCCACTGTTGAAGGTACAGTCTGCTGAAGATTTTGCATGGGGTGAAGCGCAACAACAAGCTTTCTAGGATATTAAACAAGCTTTATCAACTCCTCCAGTCATGGTATCGCCAATAAAGAATAAACCACTGAAGTTATACTTGTCAGCAACAGAAGAATCTTTGGGTTGTTTGTTAGCACAAGATGGTCATGATGGTTTTGAAAGAGCCATATATTACTTAAGCAGAATGCTAACGGACACGGAACGCAAGTATCCTCCGATTGAAAAGTTTTGTTTAGCATTATATTTTGCTGCCACCAAGTTGCGCCATTATATGCTGCCCAGTTTGGTTTGTGTTATTAGCAAAGTCAACTTAGTCCGTCATATGTTGCATAGACCGATGATGAGCGGCCGGATTGGAAAATGGGTCCTGGCGTTAATGGAATATCAGTTTCAACATGTCCCTCAATCAGCAATAAAAGGGCAAGCATTGGCGGATTTCTTGGCTGCTTACCCTTCACTTGATGATGATTGGGATAGTGAGTTTCTCAGTTCCTTC